AAATTTATCTGATGATGGATCAGGGAGAAACTGTGCTTCAATTATAATCACCGTTGAAGTTTCTTCACTTTCTATAGCTTGAATTTGAATAATGGCAGGTTTATTTGGTTGTTTACGAGGACAACTGGGTTGTCCGATGTTTGAATCACTTTCGGTATCTATCATATATTCTTTTATAGATTTAAATTTTGAGATTAGTTCAGTTAATGTTTTATCTTCTGTGAGATAATCAATGGAGATAGGTGATCCATAATGTTTTTTATCGTATTGAAATGCTGGTGTAACTGCATTTAGTTGATGATTTTCAAGTGCTTGTTTACCTGCTTTCAACCATGATGTACGTTGTGATTCAGTTAAACCATCTGGACAATTTTCTGGTTTACGTTTTAATAAATGTTCATGTGGATGACGTATAGGTTGACGTGTTTGATTACGATTATGATGAGTACGATAATCTCTTGATGATGATTGATTATTATTCGTAGGTCGTCGGTTGTCTTCTCGCCGTTGCACACTGCTACAGCTCGCCACTGGCGGCCATAAATGTGAACGACTCGAAGATGATTGGCGTTGCATACCTGTATTATGTTGAGATTGTCTGGAACGATGATCTTGTAGTTCTTCCGAGGATGTTGTATGAGCATATGGGCGACTTTCATCACGTCGCCGCACCTGACTACTGCACACCACTGGCGGCAATAAAGGTGAAGAGCTGCGTGACTCCGATCGGCAAAATGCTCGACATGATTTTAATATATTTGTCATTACCTTTTGAAACGTAGGAGGTGAATTTTTTAATCCCATTGGTAATACATTAAATTGATAATGACCAAATGGGGTCACGAACGCCGTCTTCTCCTTGTCTTCATGATTAATGGGGATTTGATAAAATCCGCTTTTTAGGTCGAGCTTCGAATTCAGCAAAGAATTCTGAACAGTATAAAATATCTCGAAACAAAATAACGGTTTTCCGTCCAGTTCTATTCAATTGACCAATGGCTACAAAGGATGCGAAAATATCAAAATATCGCGGTGAAAAGCGCTATAGACAGCCGGGAGATATTTTATACTGTTCAGAATTCTTTGCTCTATCAGACTATATGGTTGGTAAAATTTTCTGACCAAAAACCAAAGACTTGGTTTTCTAGCGTTCAGGTTTTCCAGAAACCCTATTATCAAGTTTTCTAATTAAAAGAGTGATATGCACCTTATCTGACAGAAAAATCTTCGGGCTATTCAAAACAGTATTCAGATTGGTTCCAGCTTTTACTGAAATATCAAAAACAAAGAAGTTCTTCTGATTATGAAACACTGTACTGCATATATAACATTCGAACGCTTCTT